GGCTTGGGCGGATTGGGCGGCGGAGAGGAACTCGGTGTAGAGGCCGATGGCGTCGCCGAGGGCGGAGCCGAGGAGGACGCCGGCGACGCGGTCGCGGAGGGTGGCGTGGAGGAGGGCGGTGGTGGAGACCGGGGGGAGGGGGTGGGTTGGTATCGGGGAGGTCGTGGTGGTCATGGTGGCTGGGTTGGTGGTTGTGGTGCGGGTTGTGACGGGGTTGGTGATGATGGAGGGGTGAGGAACAGAGGGACGGGGGGCGGGGGGCGAGTTAATTAAGAAGGGGAGCGAAGTGCGAGGCGAGGAGATTGCGTGGCGCTTTCAGCTGGACCCGGCTGCCTGGAGTCCTGGAGGGAGAGTGGGTCGACGAAGCAGTCTAGCAGATCAGCCGCAGCCGTCCCCGACTCAGCCCCTGAATTCCAGCCTACATGCTGCATCTCATAAAATAAAGACGTAGGTCCAGTTGTCAACAGGCAGTGCAGCAGGGAAAGCGTACCATATGGAAATCCAAATGACTCATCTAGGTGGGTAATTGTCTTTGAGTATCTTGAAAAGGGGTAGCTGTGACATTACCCCGGCAGTTCTCAGGCCTTCCACCGCCACACGCCTACTCAATCTTGATCCCAATCTTGCCAAAGTGCTTCTGCGCCAACTGTCGTCCATGTTAGTCAACCGCACCCTGCCAATCCGGTAAAGTAGGACGCCTCACCATGTACTCATAGGCCTCCTTGGCTGTCTCCAGCGTAAACACCTTCTTGTCGATGACGGGATGGATGTTGTGCTTCTCAATCTCCTTGACCATATCCTCGAGCTGCTCGCGCGACCCGACATAGACACCGCGGATCGTGCAGAGCCGCGCCAGGACCTCCATGATGTTGTCCTTGGGCTTCATGCCGCCGAGCATGCCGATGAGGGAGATGACGCCCTCGATCTTGACGGCGCGCAGGCTCTGCGCCATGGTCTTCTCGCCGCCGACCTCGATCACATGGTCCACGCCCTCGCCGCGGGGCGACAGTTTGCGCGCCGTCTCGCCCCAGTTCTCGTCCTCGCGGTAGTTGATGACGTGGTCGGCGCCGAGCTTCTTGACGATCTCGGCCTTCTCAGCCGACGACGTGGTGGCGATGACCGTCGCGCCCGCGGCCTTTGCGAACTACTCCAGCGTCAGCAACCCCAGGATGCCAACCCGCCGGACAAAACCCACCTGCAGCGCAAACAGACTAACACCGCCAGTCCCCTGCACCAGCACCGTCTGCCCCTTCTTCAGCGGCCGCAGCCCATACAGCGCGTTCCAGCTCGTCAACGCCGCACTAGACCAGTCCCCCATCGTCAGTCCCAGTTCCCTTCCACAACCCCCCCCCCCCGGACAGACCAAAGAAAGAAAAGAAGAAAGAAAAACCCTACCACACCAAACTGGCCCCCTCCACAAAGTCCAGATTCGCCGGCATGCGCACCACGCCGTCCTGGCTGAAGGCGCCGTACTGGCGCAGCGTGCCGTCGAGACAGCCGCCGAGGCCCGTGGCGGACGCGGCCGCCGTCATGGGCCCGGCCTGGTGGCCCTGGTTGAACAGCGTCACGACACGGTCGCCGGCCTTCCACTTGGTGACGCGGGCGCCGACGGCCACGATCTCGCCGGCGCCGTCGGAGCCGGCCACGACGGGGAGGGCGAGGGGGAAGGGGTATTTGTTCTGGTTTTTGGTTTTTTTTTAGTTGGGTTGAATTGGGTTGAGTTGGGTTGGTTAAGGGGGGTGTTACCTGGGGGATGATCAGGTCGCGGAAGTTGATGGAGGCGCCGCGCAGCTTGACGAGGACCTCGTTGTCGCCGACTTGGGGGACCGGGCCGTCCTGGTAGACGACATCGTCGAAGCCTTTGTCGTTGCCCTGGATCAGCCACTGCTTCTGGGTGGTGGGGAGGGACATGGTTGCGGGGGGCGGTGGTGTTGTTGGCAGGTGATCGAAGGTGGGTCGGGATGTGAGGTGAGTGCTGAGAACAGTTACACGACTGACATCCTCGCCGATGGCGTCGTGTATTTGTACAGCTGCCGCGACCTTGACGGCCCATGGTTAGGTACTGTCTGGCTCGGCATGGTTCGGTCCGCTCGGCGCTTGATCCGCCTGTCGTCATACGTCGCAGGACATGACCAAGATCGGCACTAACTGGTTCACGTCATGGCGACAGACTGCCAGTCCCACACTCGCCAATGGCACGCTTGTCGTTGCTGCAGAGGACAGCTGTTGGGTTACTTGGTAAGCGACCCACGGCCAACACGATGGAGGCACTATTCTACCGCAATGGCTCTCACAGCGTTTGGCCTATCGCAACGCACAGGGTTCAACGTTCGGATCCGCAATCCATCAGACCCCTCCCGGACCCGTCTCCGGGTCCTGCCATTCGTCACCTGCGACCCTGGCTGGCATGTCAGTCTCGCCTAGATCCACTCAGGATACTCCGTAGACCTGACTCGAAAGATGCGCACAGGTTGCACCGAGGGGGAAGACGAGTGTGGAGGAACCCTTGTTCCTGACCATACTCTCTCCATGGGCCGGAAACCAAAAGGGATGCCCTTGAAGAAGGGTGTCTGTCTCTGTACGCCGCGAATACATAATGAGTGCCGCGTGGAAAAACAAAAGTTGATCGAAGACCGGGAATTGAGCCCGACGTGGGGGTCGAACCCACAACCTTGAGATGTCGGAAACCCGTAAGAGTCTCACGCTCTACCGATTGAGCTAGCCGGGCAGGTTATCCAATGATTGGTTGGCGAAACGGCGCGCCAGCCTGAACAAGTCTCGCACTCACAGGACCAACTTCCCCTGAATCTTCCGATCTGGCAACTCAGACATAGGTCGAGTCTCCGTTTGATTGATAAATATTATCTCGAAGGGTAACTCAAAGCCGGAACTACAGAGAGGTTAGGTGATAAGAGATGTGGGGAGTAACAGTTGTAGTTATTCCAATACATCGACCGCGATTTGATATACTAGAATTCTTGAGTCTCAAAACTGAAACAAGATACTACCATAACCCATACAAATTGTATAACGGCTCTTCCTCAAATGGGAGTTTCTCAGCCTTGGCTTGTAGCCGGTGGAGACGCTGACGTAGGCAGAGTCGATGTCAGTGGAGTCGACGTAGGCGGAGTGGGGAGGAGAGCTGGTAAGTAAAGTGGGTATGGAAGAAAGTCCGGAGCTGTCGGGAAGCTGGGAAGAAAGAACCCCCGAACTGTGGGGTGTCTGGGAAGAAAGAACCCCCGAGCCGTGCGCAGTCTGGGACGACAGCCCTCCGGTGCTGTCGGTCGGCGCCGATGTCTCAACCAGCCCACTTTGGCTTGCTTCCTCCTCCTACAACCTCCACCACAGAATATCACCAGTTTGCCTGCTTCCTGCCGTCCCACAACTAGCCATCATCAAACGCAAATTGTCAGCGCCCAACCAACGGCGGGGGGTCCCGACATTCCCGGAACATATCAGTGCTGGGTCAGCCAACAAGCAGTTTCCGACTGCCGGGTACACGAGGCCATTCTTGGACACATAGACTGCTTCGCTGTACATCTCGTGGGTGGGGTCCCCCCTATCCTTGCTGTCATACAGGCTGGAAACGCGACGCGGGTTGTAGTAGTGCAGCGTCGCCGGGAAGATTTGGTGGAGGTTCCTTGCAATGAACAACGACATCTGGCGGCGGAGGCGCGGCATGGGAGCCGCTGCCTGAGGAGGACCGTGGTTCGCGAAGCCGGTGCAAACATGGCCGAAACGTTGTCCGTCAGTCGGTCTTCTGCAGGTCAGATTGGATGCTGCGGTACGATGGTGGTATCGTCGGATTTGTCTCGGGGCCGGGCCTGGATTCGGTTGGAAATCCGAGTTCTGAACTTCGGACCAACAAGTTGAGGGTGTCGTCCTGGCGACTCTGCGTTAGTTGGCTCGTTGGTTTCCGGGTTTTATTGTGCCGTCACGCGCCAACACGCGCCCACGCTATCCACGTCCGAGCTAAGAATAGAACCAGCCCCTGACCGGCAGTGGCTGCTGTCATGCGGCCCAAACCAAGGCCTACGACAGCAGTTGTATTTAGAGCGAACGATACCAAAAGCACTACTACGTCGACGAGGCGGGACAGACGCATTAGATTTCTAAGCCTGTTGGGGGCGGTGCTGCTAGCTGTCCAACCAGTAGCCATTCTACCTCGGGTGGAAACCGAGGCCAGACGGGCAAGACAAGCTAGAAGGGCAAAACCAGCTAGAACGGCTAGAAGGACTATTACCGGTGCCTGAGCGAGAGCTAGTCTCTGCCATTTTGCTAGGAACTCAGAGCGTTTTAGGGATTTGGTATTGTTACCTAGTGTTAAATCATTAGATAAGCATCTTAGCACTAGGTAGGTTACTACCTTCTACATAGTATCTTGAATATATTCGTTTGTTCTTAGTCTACCTCTCTAGCACCGAACTACCTATGTAGTTAGGTTATCGATAGAGCTTAGAAAGTTAGAAACTTCATAGTCACTCTGATTAATTGGGTTTGGTTGGTCTTTACTATATCTGTCGGTCTATCTATCTGCTGGTTCATGTAGCTACATCTAGCCGTGAACGTCCTTTCGAATACTAGGAGCTACATAGCACCGCTTAGTTCGCCAATGTCATCACATAGGTAGGGTACTGCACCATTGCCTTGACACTCTCAACACCAACACAGGCCAACCACAGATAGACATGCAAAAATCAGCCCAGAGTGGTAGACACGCAAAAAGGAATTTAACATGTGGATCTCGGATACCGGGAGTCGAACCCGGGGCTGTTGAGGGCGCAAACACTTCTGCGAAGTGAGAGTCAACGATGTTACCGCTACACCATACCCGATTGCGACCGGATGTGGTTCCGATGGAACTTGATGGTGGGGAGGGCAGGGCTTGGCTTCATAGATGAAAGACTCTGGGCCCTCTTGTGGAGTCGTGGTGGATAGTCCACTCCCAAAGTCCCACCACAGAAGTCTCTGCAACTACCTCACCTCCACACCAACATCCAGGCAACGTGGCCGAGCGGTCTAAGGCGCCACGTTAAGGTTCATCCTTGATATCATCAACTCATCCCAGTTGTTCCGTGGTCCGAAAGGGCGTGAGTTCGAATCTCACCGTTGTCAAGACTGTCCCCTGCAGGACAGACTATGTCTTTTGGCTCTCCGCATTCATTTTGCGATCATGCTTGGGTTTGGACATTCAGCTGAGTCTTCACGCAAGCGGCTATACACCAGGTCTGCACATATAGCAAGCACTTGGGGTCGTATTCCAATCTAGTCCAACAGCAGAATCAACCCGCCCCCCTTCACATCACATATCTGTACCCGCAAGCCCCAACACAAGTCAGCCAAGCCCCCTCCCCCGGCTCACGGACGCATTGTCACCACCGACGTCTTGCCCTCGATCTTGATACTGTACCTGTCCTTCTCCTCCCTGCCGATCCACACGCACGCTCTTCTTCTCCGTGCCCCAGCGGATGAAATACCTGTCGCCCTGCAAGTGCAGCTCATACGTGTGCTTGCCAACACCTCTACCAAGCTTGCATCGCCCCTACCCCTCCGCCCGCCACACATCCTCCTCCCACAACGTGTACGGCTCATCCAACATATGCCGCCCCCCGGCCTCGGCACTCCTCGTCAACGCCCGTCCGCGCAACCCCATCGGATCCTCCCCAAACCGCCACTGCCACCCGCCCAGCCCCGGCCCCACAGCCACATGCTCAAACTCCACCCCCCCGGGCCGCCGCCTCTCCCTCTCCCACAACTGCACCCACCCCATCCCCCCGCCCATGCCGGGCCAATCCATGACCCTCTCCGCCGGGCCCACAAACCCCTCCCCCGGCACATCCACCCCGGCCGCAAACCGCTCCCACACCCCCTCCCCCAGCACCACCCCGTCCCAGTACCCCCGCTCCCCCAACCAGTGGCCCATCACCCCGACCACGCCCTGCGGCGCATACCGCAGCCGCAGCACGCCGCCGCGCACGGCGTCTGCTGCATCAGGTGGTTGTAGCGCGCCTGGTCGCAGGGCGCGGCGCCGCCGGGGTGGTGTGTGACGACGGAGGCGGGCGGGTAGGGTCCCGCGGGGTAGGGGTCGCCGGCGGGGTTCTGGGCGCGGCGGGCGGGGCCGGGCCACCAGGGGAGGGGGAGGTCGCCGTCGCCGGGGCGGGGGGGGATGGGGCCTGGGTGGGCGGGGTTGGGTGGCTGCGGTGGTGGGCTGTGGTTTGGGGTGCGGTGCAGGGGCGTGTAGTCGTAGTCGACGGGGTCGTAGTGGGTTCGGGACTCGTTGGTGATGAGCAGGATCTGGGCGAGCGGCTGGTCGGGCCGGAGCGGCGCGCCGTACACGCTGTAGGTGTAGGGGGCGGACGATTGGCTGGCGGGATTGGTTAGGGGTGGTAGGGGGACAAGGCCTAGAGGGGGGTGACATACTGCTCCTGCTTCCCACGTGGCCCACCGCGGAATACAATGATTTGAACCCCGAAGTAGTCGGCAATCACGTACAGCAGGTAGTGGTGGGGGTATGCTGGCTTGCCTTGGGACTGGGAGGCGTACAGTGACCGGGCCATGGACAGGGTGCCGAAGTCGGGGTCGACAGACTTCGACCTGTGCTGCAGAATGTTGTAGTCCGCCCAGCGAATGTGATCGCCGTGGTTCCGGGACGACTTCAGGACCTGCATAAAGTATGTCCAGATGCGCGCTTTGACTTGCCAGTGCTGCATGATACAGGGGCCGCCCTCGGTATTCATACGCCGTTTGTATATCCAGTATCTGGATCCCATTAGCACATCGCCAGACAACCTCTTGCCTGCGCCACTTACGAAACACTATGCCACAGGGAGTCGGCCCCCTTGGGAACCGGGAATGCCCTCAGGTGGAACTCCAGCCTCTCGGGCGCGGGCCCCTGGACTCTGAACCCCTGATAGCGGTGTAAATCCCTCCACATGGCAATCTCAACCCTATCTCTGCTCCCGCGTTCCCGCGGCGCGGCACGGGGCGCGGCCGCCCCAACGTAGAGTCGGGCATCGGAAACCCAGATACCCCTGCCGCCCATGCCGGGCCCGGCAATGCTGGCCCAGGAGCCGTCCTGGTCTCCTTCGTCCAGGTCGAGATCCCTGACATTGACATTCCATGTCCCGTTGCGGAAGCCCAGTGTTCTGAGCGCGTCCAGCATGTAGGCTCTCGCCCTCCGGCCCTTGAGAGTTCGGAGCTGCGCCTGGTGGGTCCATAACGCGTTGACTTGAGGCACGAAGTCCTGGAGCAATGGCTTTGGGGTTCGATGGTATCCCAGAACGGACCACGCCTTTTTGGTGTCGTAGTATGTAGGTACTTTGCACTTTAGGATTTCTGCTGTGAGAGTAGCCGCGGATTTAGTGACCGGCCTGCGGGGCGGGCCATTTTCGTTGTTCATTACGATGCCGGCGCAAGGAGATTCGAGGCTAGATGGCGGCGGACTCGGAGTCGGGGGTAGTACTGAGCGGTTGACTTGATGCCACAGAACGGGGCCAGATGGCATGCGGCGCTGGCTTAATACACGAGCCGTGGTGGTGAGCCACTGCGAACGGAATACGGTCTGGTTTCTTTATGCTGAGCCTTTGTAGCACATTGTGTGTGTGCGTTTCGGGTCGGGGACAGGTCGACGGAACCGAACACAAAGAACCAGGCTGGCAACCGTCGAGGGCCAACTCAACCGCCGAGATCGGTGGCGCAGACGCAAACTTGCAATCCATGGAGGTAGTTGTCAATGACCGGTACCTGAGGAGGTGTGTAACGATCCAAAATTGGACAGACACTGAGCTGGAGAGGTAGGTAGCCAACCAGCACCCATCCTAGCCAAGATCGAAGCAAAATCACACCCCTAAGTAGGTCGATACTCGAACCTCTTCCGCTGTCGATGCGCCTGCCAGTCACGTTGTGTCTGGAATTTGGGTCCTCATCCCCCGAGTCCCCTCCGGTTTTGCCGGGCCCGGTGCGCTTGGTTTACCCAATGGATGGGACGGCGTCGAGGCAAAATCCGAAATTTCTCCCCAGCCGCAGAGAGAGGATGCCGAGAATCCCCCACATCATCAGGGCAAAGGACAATAACCCGGGGGCAGAAAAAGTCGGCAATCACGCAAAAGATGCCTGGTCGTTGGGCACGGCTCTTTCCTGCGACCGGCAGGCGTGTGGAGAGCGGGCTAAGGCAAGCTCGCTGAAGTCGGGGTCAGGTCTCTGGTGTGTCAATTGTGAAGATAGTAAGTTGGCAGCTGATGGGCCAGTGGGGTAAAGGCACAACACAACACCCCTGTCGGTAGATTTTCCAGGCCTGTTGCTGCTGCTGCAATCTCGCAACAATCACACTCCAGCGGACCAGCGCACCTCAATCCCTCGACGACCTGCGGCTGGGCAGAAGAGCATGGCGCTGAGAAGAGCAACGCCCGAATCGTTACACGGTCGAGCGAAATCTGGCGTTCAGATAATTTCAGAGGCCCTGGGCCCAGAGAATGGCCCGGCCAGTTTCCGCGCTCGTTCGACGGCGTTCGTTGCCCCACCGCTCAGCTGCTGACGCCCTTCACGGCGGCCGGTCAACACCAACGACTCCACTAGCGCTCTGGTGGGCGCGAGGGAAGCACGGCCAGGCCGACGCGTCGATTGGCGGGAGATTTTCAGATCACCGGATCTCGTCCCTCGTCGTCCGCTCTGTGTTGGCCCTGTTGGGTGGGGGCGTGCCGTGGGGGTCATGAGTGCCGGGGGTCAGAACATCGCAATGTTGGCACAGCGTCCCGCGCTTCCCACCCACACTCAACATACATAACCACATCGATAAACAGCAGCTCACATTCGATGCTCAGTGAAGAGCCGGCCGCGACCGCCATCCGGCGCGTTCCAAGCTGACGCCCCTGGGCGCTGCGCCCCGCCAGGGTTAGGGTTCCCCCCTGCCAGGCCTCCTCCGTGGGCCAACACAACGCCCCCCAACCGGCCATCCGTACGAGGTCCAGACCGGGCCTCCGTTTCGAAACCAATATCGTGGGCAAGCCTGCCCGTGTTTCGGCCGCGGGCTCCGCCGGGTCGCCCGGCCATGGCAGCCGTGGGCTCCGCCGTGCGCGGGACCAACGCACGCAAGCCCCTTTAAGTCTCTGGGGGCTCTCATTCCCACCGGTTTCGTCATATTCTCCGACTTTCTGAAATCCCGGATTTCTGCGTGACCGGGACGCTACACAAGACGACACCCGAGAAACCGCAGCACTCGCCGCTCACGGGGGGCAGCGAGGCCGCGGATGCAGCCGGGACCATGAGTCCCACGAGTCATCCCCCGAATCTGATCGAATATGTCTGGCCCTGCGGGCACCACGAAAACGTTGCCGTGCAGGAAGCCCCGGGCATTGCCTTCGTCCGGGGGCAGTTCTCCCTGCCGGTCGCCAAGCCGCCAGAGGAGTTCACCGAGAAGGAGCGGAAGGGCGTGCCCGGGCGGCGGAAATGCTGCCGGTGCTGGGCGACATGCAGCCTGTTCAAGCCGCTCGAGGCCTGCGAGGAGTGCGACCACCCGTTTGACGGATGCGCGGCCTGCATGATCGTCGACTCGTCCGGGTCGCGCGAGATCGCGACCCTCCAGCGCCGCCCGGTTGCCGAGTTCGACCAGACGCCCGAGTATTGGCGGTGCAGCGCCTGCGAGCGCATCAACGGGTTCGACAACGAGTCGGGCTTCAACGGGTTCCTGGCGCCCAAGGTGGCCGATTACATGGAGGACCTGCGCTGCAGACAATGCAGCGAGTCCTTCCACGAGGACAGCTGGGTCGTGAACCCGTTTTCCGTCTATCTCGGCACGTGGAACGGGAGGGCCGTCGCCGAGGGCGGGCCGTGGCACTGGAATCTCGAGTGGCACCGCGACTTCGCCGGCGAGGACCACTCCAAGGACGACTGCTACTCCACGCGAAAAAACGGCCGGCGGCGGCGAGAAAACCCGTGCACCAACAAGCACCCCGAGCCCGCGCCCGAGTCGGCCGCAAGGGGGGGCTTCGTCATCCCGGCATTGGTCATCGACACCAGCCCCGACGACCACTCCCTCCCGCCGCCCTCCGCCGGCCTCACACCCTTCCCCGAGGACCATGCCTACGACAGCGAGAGCGACGTCGAAGACGCCCAGCAAT